ATACTGGGCACCTCCGTTGAGCCTGCTATTGCAGGGGACAGATGCAGAGAAGAATGTACTCATTCTTGCTTTCAAGCAGAATGTGGTCGGGGGGGGGGGGGCGGCGGGGACAGAAAAACAGACTATGACAAGAGAGTGGCAGTACCTGTGAGAAGGATCAGCACAGGAGGAAGAGGCTGAACCTAACCCAGCTGGGGCGAGTACTCAAGAAAGCCTTTTGGAAGGAGCTGAGTCAAAAGAGGAGTGGGAGTCGGCCTGACAACAGGTGAAGGGCATTTCAGGTAAAAGGCAACAGAGTGTGCATTGGCTCTGAGAGTCAAGTTAGAGATAACTCGGCAGTGAAAGATAAAGTGCAGAGATGAGCGAGGACCTTGTATGCCATCCTAAGGAATTTGGACTTCATCCTGAAGGCCAGTGAAGATTTTTTTTTTAAAGATTTTATTTATTGCCCTGGCTGGCGTAGCTCAGTGGATTGAGTGCGGGCTGGGAACCAAAGTGTCCCAGGTTCGATTCCCAGCCAGGGTACATGCCTGGGTTGCAGGCCATAACCCCTAGCAACCGCACATTGATGTTTCTCTCTCTCTCTGTCTATCTCCCTCCCTTCCCTCTCTAAAAATAAATAAATAAAATCTTTTTAAAAATAGCATCAATAATATTTAAAAATAAAAAAGATTTTATTTATTTATTTAGAGAGAGAGGGGAAGGGAGGGAGAAAGAGAAGCAGAGAAACATCAATGTGTGGTTGCCTTTCACATGCCCGCTACTGGGACCTGGCACCGTGCCCTGACTGGGAACTGATGAAGATTTTAAGTCTTATTAATGCACATCTAATAGCCATGGAGTAAGGCTACACTTAACAATACATACTGAGCTCCGACTATGTACTACATCCTGGGAACTCAACGGTGAAAAAGACAGACGTGACTTCCACAATCAAGGTTCCTATTGTAAATGGTTTTACAGTAAACAAATCATTGTAAATTATAATAAATGCTACAAAATCAAAGAATAAAGTGAGAGACCCTAATGAGCATGGAGAGGAAGGACACACCTAAGTTGACAGGGTCAGAAGGGGCCTCTCACCCTGAGGAAGTAACATTTAAACAGAAACATGAAGTAAGAGGGAAATGTGTGCAAAGGCCACGAGTGATAAATAGTTTTGCATGTTCAAGGAAACGTAAGAAAGCCAGTGTGTCTGGGGTCCAGAGGGCAAGGCAACAAGTAGCAGGAAGTAAAACTTGAGAGGGGCCAGAACATACAAAATCCTGTAGGCCAATACAAATTGAGATTTTTATCTTCGGTGCAGCAAACCAGTGAAGAGTTTTAAGCAGGGGAATGACATGACCTGAACATTTTTAAAAATCATTCTAGATACCTGATGAAGAATGTATTAAAGAGACAAAAACGGAAGTAGAAAGCCACTTAGGATGCTACTGAAATTGTACAGAGAGAGATGATGGTTACTTGGACTAGGGTTGCAATAGTACAGATGAAAAGGTATAGGCAGGTTCTAGAAATATTCTGGAAGTAGAATCAAAGGGTTTATGGACAGTGAGTGTATAAAGGGTGAGGGAAAGGGAGAACTCAAGAGTGACTCCTAGGACTGTGGCTTGAGCTAATGCATAGACACTGAAATGAGAAACAAGGAGGTAAAACTGGCTTGAGGAAGAAATCGAGTGTTTTGCTTTGTTTTGTTTTGACATGTTAAGTGTAGTGGGCTGAATAATGAAACCCAAAGCTGTCAGGTCCTAATCCCAGGAATCTGTAAATGTTGTCTTATACAGAAAAAGGATCTCTGCAGATACAATTATATCAAGGATCTTGAGTCGAGGGCGTTATCCTGGATCATCTGAGGAGGCCCCACATGCCGTCACCTGTGTCACTATAAGGGGGCAAGAGGAGACTTCACAGGCAGAAAGAGGAAGGCAGTGTGATCAGAGAGGAAGAGAGCTGAGTGATGCAGCCACAAGGCCAGCAAGGCCAGCGGCCACCTGAAGCTGAAGAGACAGGAACCAGTTCTCCCCGAGAGCCTCTGGAGGGAGCACGGTCCTGCTGACACCACAAGTTTTGCTCCAGTGAGACAGACTGCAGATTTCTGGCCTACAGAACTATGAAAGAATATACTTCTGTCGTCTTAAACCGCCAAGTTAATGGTAATTTGTTATAGTAGTCACAGGAAATTAATACATTAAATTGGAGATGCCTGTAGAACCTCCAAATAAGCTGTTACACAAGAGTCTGGAGTTCAAAAGAGAGTTATTATTTCAAATACCCCTAAGCGTTGGAAAATTGTACTCTTACCTCCAAGTCCTTCCGAACGCTCTCAAACTCCTCGATGTCATCCAGCTTCAGTTCCAGGCGGGTTGGTTTTCGTCGCAGCATACTGAAATCAACACTAAGGGCCAGGCCCAGTGAACTATAGCTGTTAAAAAGGGCAGAGAGGAGGAAAAGCTGGAAGGTTAAATCTCAGCTGCAAATATAAGATCAATTTGTAAGCAGGCACACTACGCTGAATGGCAATGCAAAAGACTCATGGATTCACACAAAGACTTCTAAGTCTTTAGATGTCTGAACTTTACATTTTTGTTACATGATAGAGATCCACAACTCGGTTATTTAAAAAAAACTCTTTCTTCATGGCCTTAAAATAGCAAGTTGCCTATAAAAGAGAATTCTAGGCAAGTCACTTTAATCTCATGATCCAATCACATTCAAAGACATTTTCCAGCTAAGAGAACAACTTTAAAACACCACATCTTAATTCAGTAACACTAACTCTGTGTTAGTAGGAGAGCACACAAGCCATTAAAGTCGATCAACTATACAGGAGAATTGTGAGAGATTTGTGAGCACTCCTGAATACTAAAATCAGTTTACTAAATCTCTTGAAAACTCTAACTCACCAATTCACGGGGTTATCCTTAGGGTCTAAATAGGTCCTAAATAGATACGACATTCATTAAACAAACACTTCTTTGTGCTCCAGCGGCAGGGTTAAAAGGCACAGCCACAGCGTGTAGAGAAAACAAACACGTAAACAGAAAACTGCATAGTGTACCAAGAGCATTGATGAGGGAAATGCAATGAGATCACACAGGCCCGATCCACTCTGAGTTGAGTGGGGGGTGGACAGGGACAGGGAGGACTTCCTGGAGGAGATGATGTCTTAGTTGACTTGTGCAGGGCAGGCAGAGAAAGAGGATTAGGGGCATTCTAGGCTGAGAGAATAAAGACGCAAAGGGGCTCCAGAGAACACTCCAGTCTGAAAACCCAAGGTAATGCTTATGCTAACAAAAACCTTTTTTTTGGAGAAAAAAGAATAAAACTTCCCCACTGAGTTTAAAATCTATTGATGGCATTCATCTTTACGTTCTTCACAGCATCCACTAGAATGTATCTATAATAATCAGGCAGTAAATATTTTGTTGAATAAACCAGAGATCCAAATAAAGTGAAGTAAATTTTCCCTGAGCATTGTGCTGTGCTTTTCCCTTCTTATTCTTTACATTTTTTTAAACACAGAATCCCTGTGATGTTAGCAGAATTATCCCTGTTTTACAAATGAAGTGAAAGCTGTTGTTTGGTTAATAAATGCAAGCCTCTCATAAAAATTATACATATGTTACACAGTGAGGATTAAATGAGTGAGCGAAAGCTCCTTTATTTAGAGACATAAATTATTATTACGTTATCTAGAATGTAGCTAGGAACTGCAAAGTGGACAAAGGGAGAAATGTTTCCTTCTCCCTCCCATGAAAATTGGGATGCATACAGGTGATATTAGCAACACAACATACTAGCACATCGCATTTCAAATTGCATCGTACTAAATCAGATACTGTGTTGATTCCAATGTCGATGACTGGTGGAGGAAGCCAAAGCTCGGGGGAGAAATGCTGAAAGGAAAAACATTGTTTTGCGCTGTCTTCACTTTTCTGCAAACTGCGAAAAGCTTGCCACTAGGGAGCAGTATAGGGTAGCGGGTAAACGTGCTCGCTCAGAAGAAAAAAGAGCAGAGAGCTTAAGTTCTAATACTATTCGTTGCTTATCTTCAGCAATTAGTTTCATCTTTTATTAGATCTTAATTTCTAAATCAGCACTCTGTTACTGTATGGGCTGACTGACGTAATGGAGACTGAGTTCCTGGAATATAACTTATTCAGTAAATGCTCAATAAACAACAGCCATCATCATAGTAACTGTCCTTGTGGAGAGGGGCGGGAAACACTCCTGTCCAACTCGGCAAACACCAATATTTTGAGCATCACCCCCGACATGAAGGCAAAAACTTTATCTTTTTCACCTCTGGTGTGCCAGCACCCAGCGGGGCACAGGACCATGCAGAGTTGTTTCCACGTACCTGACGCCTCACATGCATCATGTCACTTTGAATCTGATACACAGACCAGGCTGAAACCAGCAAGAGCAGGCCGTAGCTCCTCCGCCGGATCTTTATTTTATTTTGGCGCTAGAGGGCTCTTTGAGCTTAATCTCTCACTGCTGCCTAAATTCACCCACCCAGGAAAAAAGATCCAGGGAAAGAACTTCCCGGCAGCGGCGAACAGCTCGCTCCCAGCAGCTTCAGGGGAGCCCTCACCGGTCCAGGGCAAGGGTTTCCATGGCAACACGCCCCCCCTCCCCCGCTCCTGGACCACGTAAAGCAGCTTACAGGCCCCAAAAGCCCTCAATTCGCTCAGTTCAGCCCGGGGCCGCGCGGCTTGACGGACCTACCTCTTTTCAAGCCTGCTCAGCCCCGGTGGTACGGAACCTCAGCGCCCACCGCGAATCTTCTGCTAAGCACCGGACTACACTTCCTAGGCTGCTCTGAGCCTCTCTCCTCGCAGAACCTCGACTTTCGCGTACATTTCTCGGAGGCCCTACCGGTCACACCTCTAGACGTTCCCCCAATCTTTCTTTCTTTCCTACTACGATTCCCATCGTCCTCCACGATGCCTCGGACTATCCGTCGCTCCCGACCCGCTTCCGGTCAGTGACGCACTTCCGCTCTGCTGGATGCGCGCGGTGGATGGTCTGAAACGTAGAGTTCGGCTTTTCCTGGGCTTTTGCGGCTTCCGAGCCCAGCATGGCTTCCACACGAACTTCCTCCACGGTACAGATCTTAGCTCACCCTGGCAGGCAGTGCGGAGGGGTTTGGGGTCCCTGCGGATGGGGCTGTGAGGGGATTGGCCAAGGCAATGGAGGACTGAGGAGGAAGGCTGCGAGACTCGGTTTTGTCTTAGCGGGGCTTCATTTTCCTGATTCCTAAGGGTTTTCATGGGCTTAAGTTCATTTGCACCTTTCGTACAACCGCGAACGGTGATACCTTTTCCGACTGGTCCATAAACGAGCTCTGAAGGAGTGGTGTCCTGGCCAAGATTTATGTTTATGTCAGTCCTCTTTATTGTCATGAGGCCTCCCAACTTCATATGTACTACCTGTCGTCTGGAAACACTTTGAAATTTATAAACCAGTACTTTTTGTAACTTGTTCCCCCTTAACATCGACTTGGTTATTTCAGTTATCCTTTATATTTTCCCTGTGATGAGCAAGATCCCTGGAAGTTTCATAAAACCCAAGGAGAGATTGCACTCCAGCCGAATGAATTAAACATATTCCAAAGCAAACCCTTAATAGAAAAGTCACGAAGAGAAGCCAAGTACTTTTATCAACCTCTTCCTGTCTGAGATACTGAACAGGCACTCCTCACCCCCTGTCAGGGAAGACACCTTAATTGGTGTCCCCCTTGTTCTTTCCTTTGGGGAGGAAATACAGTTGAAGCTCAAGATGAGCTTTATCCTAATAAATTGCTAAGATTAAGCCTTAGGTTAATCCAAGTTTTTGATTTAGCAGGCAACCAAAACTAAGGCACCGGATGACTTGGGGGCTGCCGTTGTGAAGAAACCACACATCTACTATGGAAGCTTGGAAGAAAAGGAGAGGGAGCGTCTGGCCAAAGGAGAGTCTGGGATTTTGGGAAAAGAAGGACTTAAAGCAGGAATTGAAGCAGGGAATATTAACATAACCTCTGGTAAGATGCAAATTGTGAGTCCATCTTTATCTTTAGTGCTCAGATTTTCCTCAATGAATGCCTTCCTAAACTTAGATATCACTAATTTTACAGTGTCAAAAATTTCTGTTTTTAACCTCACATCTGTATGTGGTCATACTTTGCCTACCCTGCTTAGCAACAGACACAGCCTTTTGCTTTAAACCTGGTAAGCAGTTTTTTTCCCATGAATTGTTAGTGGTTTTACCAGACTCCGTATGTACAGCTGACCCTTGAACAACATGGGTTTTAACTGCATGGGTCCACTTACATGCAGATTTTTTCCCAATAAATATTGTAAGTGTGTTTCCCTTATGGTTTTTAAGTAACATTTTTCTTCTCTAGTCTGTATTGTAAGAATACAGTATATAATGTATATAGCCTACAAAATATGTGTTAATTGACTATGTTGTGGGTAAGGCTTCCAGTCAGCAGTAGGCTGTTAGTAGTTAAGTTTCGGAGGAAGTCAAAAGTTGCAGGTGGATTTTTTCACTGCACTGGGTTTTGGCACCCCCTCCCTCCTTGTTCAAGGGTCAACTGTATTTAGATTCATATTGATTCCATTTATCTTCTGAAGATCTAGCACAATTCTGGCATTGGTGTGGAACTGCTGTGGTTTATAATAATCTGTTTCCAGTTTTTTAATTATTTTTCTCCCAAAATGAAATACATTTTTAATTATAAAAATTATAGTTACTTTTATTTTGAAAAAAATCAGTGTAGAAATGTGTGAATTAGAAAACCTTTAATCCTTATTAATTGGGTTATATCTTTCCGTGGATTTAATGAACCTGTAAGTATATGATTTTTTCCCATAAATAAAGGCATGATATACAAATTGTTTTGTAACCTGTATTTTTCACTCTATATACTGTTGAAGATGTCTTTCCATGTCAATAACTAGTGGTCCACTATAGTTTTAAATTAAAATTATACATATTTTTAATAAGAGATTCAAACAGTGTGGAATGATATAAAGTGAAAAGACTTCTTGCCCTGGTTGGGTAGTTCGGTTGATTAGCATTGTCCTGATACGTTAAGGTTGCAGGTTTGATCCCTGGTCAGGGCACAAACAAGAGTCAACCAACAAATGCATAAATAAGTGGAACAACAAATCAGTGTTTCTCTCTTCTTCTCCCCCCCTTTCTTCCATCCCCCTTTCTCTTTCTCAAATCAATAAATAAGAATGTTTAAAAAGTGAAAAGACTTCTCTGCAGAAGGGACTTCAGTCCAGTTTCTCGTTGATACTCCCATGTGTTTTTTTTTTCTTACACGCATGCACTTTGGCAATTTTCCTAACCTTTTATGCTGCTTTAAACATGACTGCATCACCGCTATACTTAGCATTCTCATACAAATGCTTATATTTGGTGTGCATTTTTAAACTAGTTGTTAGATTCCTCAAAAAGCCTTATAGTCAAGTAATATCATTTTCATGGTAATTATTTCCAATTTACTAGTCTTGTGTCCTGATACTGGGACTGTTTTAGAGAATAGCCTTGGCAATGGTTAAAATAATGTTTCTATTATATTTTCTGATAGAAGGCCTAGTTAACTCATTTACTAAACATGCTTCATACTCTTTACTTTCTTATGTAAGGTATGTATTTATATAAGGGTAAGGTTGTCAATTGAAACAAGACAGCTGGAATTATTTTGGTACCTTTTAAAGCTGTGTCATTGCCCTGACTGGTGTGGCTCAGGGAGTCAGTAGTCATCCTGCAAACCAAGAGGTCACTGGTTCAATTCCAGGTCAGGGCACGTGCCTGGGTTGTAAGCCAGGTTCCCAGCTGGGGGCTTGCAAGAGGCAACCCATCACTTTCTCTTACATCAGTGTTTCTTTGCCTCTCCCCTCTTCTTCCTCTCTCTCTATAAATAAATAAATAAGTAATAAGTAAATAAACAAGTAAATAAATAAATAGCTATGTCATTTAGTTTTCTCTGGGATAAGTTAATGAACTGAGAAACAATAAACTATATAAAGTGTAGTAGATTAGACAGTTAACTTTGTGAGGGGCATATACAGACTCCAATTATTAGAAATTGTTTCTTTTCCCTTAATTGATTTCACTATCTGGTGACTATGCTGATGTTGCCTGTTCTTTTTATAGGGGAAGTGTTTGAAATTGAAGAGCACATCAGTGAGCGACAGGCTGAAGTATTGGCCGAGTTCGAGAGAAGGAAGCGAGCCCGGCAAATCAATGTTTCCACAGACGACTCGGAGGTCAAGGCTTGCCTGAGAGCCTTGGGGGAGCCCATCACACTTTTTGGAGAGGGTCCTGCTGAAAGAAGAGAAAGGTGCCCTTTCTAAATACTTACTCTCTTCTTCTTTGATCACAGGGTTCTAGTTGCAAGTTTCAGTTGGTATTTATAGCAAAAACTTGAGTAGAATGTCTCAGGTTAACAGAATATCTTAAGTTGTGTTTATATAGCTTAATCTATAATTTGAGTCTTAGGCCAATTTTTACTTCCACTACTAATTTTTCTTTATGAACTTGAAGAGGGTGTTAACATGCCCACCCCCTTTCCTCTCCTCTTTCCTCCCCCCCCCCCCCATGTGGATTTTTGAGTTGGGTAAACATTTGTAGTTGAACTTGTAAAATTTAAACAACAGGGACTTCCAGCCAACACAGAGGTGTAGGTAGATACACTTTGTCTCCTCACACAACCAAAAGGACAATAACAAGTTTAAAAACAAAAAATAGCCAGAACATCCAGAAAATTGAACTGTATGGAAGTCCGACAACCAAGCAGTTAAAGAAGAAACATTCATCCAGACGAGTAGGAGGGGCGGAGAGGACTCACAGCAAGGTGGCGGGCTGGCAGACCAGGCGGTCCCACTTTGCATGCGGATACACCAGAAGGAACAACTGGGGAGCGAGACAGACTACACAGGAAATAGTATGGGGACAGTGTGAGGAAATAAAGCCTCACAACCTCTGCCTGTAAAAACCTGTGGAAGTTGTGGTGGCGGGAGAGACTCCCAGCCTCGCAGGAGAGTTGGTTGGAGAGACCCACAGGGTCCTAGAACGTACACAAGCCCGCCCTCCCGGGAATCAGCACCAGAAGGGCCCAATTTGCTTGTGGGTAGTGGGAGAAGTGACTGAAAGCAGGCTGAGAGCTAATTGTTTCCCCTCAGACCACTGCCCCACATACAGCACCACAGTGCAGCAACATGGGTTGCCCCTCCCTGGCAACTAAGGCTCTGCCCTTTACTACATAACAGATACAATGAGACCAAAAAATATGGCCCAAATGAAAGAACAGATCAAAGCTCTAAGAATAGAACTAAGGGATGAGGAAATAGCCAACCTATCAGATGCGGAGTTCAAAACACTGGTAATCAGGATGTTCACAGAAATGGTTGAGTATGGTCACAAAATAGAGGAAGAAGAGAAGGCTATGCAAAGTGAAATAAAGGAAAATGTATAGGAGCCACACTGAAGGGAAGGAAACTGGGACTCAAATCAATGATTTGGAGCAGAAGGAAGAAATAAACTTTTAACCAAAACAGAATGAAGAAACAAGAATTAAAAAAAATGGGGAGAGGCTTAGGAACCCCCCAGGACAACTTTAAATGTTACAACATCTGAATCATAGGGGTGCCAGAAGGATTAAAGGAAGAGTAAGAAGTTGAAAACTTATTTGGAAAAGTAATGAAGGAGAACTTCCCCAATGTGGCAAAGAAAATAGACTTCTAGGAAGTCCAGGAAGCTCACAAGAGTCCCAAAGATGTTGGACGCAAGGTTGCACACACAAAGGCACATCATAATTACATTACCCAAGATCAAAGAGGAGAAAATCTTAAAAGCAGCAAGAGAAAAGGAGACAGTTACCTACAAAGGAGTTCCCATAACACTATCAGCTGATTTCTCAAAAGAAACCTTACAGGCAAGAAGGGGCTGGAAAGAAGTACTCCAAGTCATGAAAGGCAAGGACCTACATCCAAGATGACTCTATCCAGCAAAGCTATCATTTAGAATGGATGGGCAGATAAAGTGCTTTCCAGATAAGGTCAAGTTAAAGGAGTTCATCATCACCAAGCCCTTATATGAAACATTAAAGGGACTTATCTAAGAAAAAGAAGATCAAAAGTATGAACATTAAAATGACAACAAACTCTCAACTCTCAACAACTGAACCTAAAACAAAAACAAACTAAGCTAACAACTAGAACAGGAACAGAATCACAGAAATGGAGATCACATGGAGGGTTATCTGTGGGGAGGGGTTGGGGGTGATTCAGGGCATCACCTGATTCAAGGTACAGGGCATAAGAAGCATGAATGGTAGGTACAAAATAGACAGGGGGAGGTTAAGAATAGTATAGGAACCTGGGTTGTGAGCCAGGTCCCCAGCTGGGGGCTTGCGAGCGACAACCCATCATTCTCGCTCTTTAACTTATAAGTTAAAGAACTTATATGTATGACGCATGGACATGAACTAGGGGGGAAATGCTGGTGGGAGGGGACATGCAGAGTGAAGGGGAATAAAGGGGAGGAAGAAAATGGGACAACTGTAACAGCATAATCAATAAAATATATTTAAAAAAAGAAAAATTAAAGGCTTTCCTTATCAATGACATAAAACAATTTTAAGTATTTTTGGATGCTACTGAAAAGGAGCACTATCCTCAGATAATGCTCCTTTTGTGATTTTAAAATTGCAAAGTCTCTTAGTGACATGCGACTCACGCAGTGATGAGGCCATCATCTTGTCTTTCTGTTCACTGTCCCGTCTCTTCTCATCACCTGTTTTCTTGGTTTGCTTAGTGCATGTGTTTAATAATCACTTTGAAACCTCTAACATTAGCTCACATTCATTAAACATAACCAACAGTATGGGCCTGTTTGAATTACAAGGGAAGGAAACCATTTTCCTTGTACTCCATGCTTTAGCCATACTGAACTGTTTGTGATTCCAAGCTCAGCATGCTTTTAGCACCTCCAGACCTTTACATTGTTGAACCTCTGGCTCAGCAATCCTCTCCTATTCTTGACCTACTGACCAGACTGAATGAGGACTCAGGTTAGGTAACACCTTCCCTGATCCTCCAAACCTACGTTAGGTGCTCCATTTATGTTTCCCCTTAGCATCCTGTGCTTACCACTGTGTTGATACTTTATATATATATAATGCACTGTATAGTTCCCTGTTGCTTTCTGCCCCCCTTGCCACCCCACCCTGCAGGACTGTGCTACTTGAAAGCAGAGCTGTTTCTTAGTTATTGTTGTGAACTTAGCACCTGAGTCAATATCCAGCACGTGTGGCACTGAGTGAGGAGTGGCTGTTTTCACAGACCAAGTGGTAGCTGTGTTGGGGCTAATTAATTCCAAATTGAGTAGGGTAATTACTGGTAGTTCAGCTCAGGGTATTTTAAAGAAGATAAGTGAATGAAATTAGACTAGAAGTTTAGGCATGGCATCTTGAATCTCAGAGAAGGCTGCTTGGAGTTTGAATGGTGAGAAGGTAGGGGAAGCTTTCTCCCTTCTTAGGTGTACTTTTCAAAATCTCAGCTCTGTTTAAATTTGTATCTTTTTTGGTATAGGTTAAGAAATATCCTCTCAGTGGTCGGCACTGATGCCTTAAAAAAGACGAAGAAAGATGATGAGAAATCTAAGAAGTCCAAAGAAGAGGTAAAATATGTCTTTACCTTCGTAATATAAACATGAAGGACATGAATAGTTTTCTCATTTTATGTTCTCAGTGATTTGCTTTGCTGGGATTGGCGGTAGGGAGTTGACAAGTCTACGGTTCAAGAATAGTTGTTAGCAGTAGTTTGTGGCTCCTTTGTAGGTGTAAATGGAGATTAGTGGGTTTCAGGAAAGAAACATAGAATTCCTAGTGTAACTTCGAACAAGGAGCCAGAATCCATCTAGTAAGACCTCACAGAAAGAAACCCAGTGAAAGCACACATGCCTGATTTCATCCTATTACTGGACTAATTCACCTTTTTTCTGGACAGTTAAAACAGAATCCACAGCTCTGAGATTGGGGGCAGGAATGCTCCACACTTAATATTTTTGCTCTTAATTTAACTTTTAGTATCACCAGACCTGGTACCATGAAGGGCCAAACAGCCTGAAGGTGGCTAGACTGTGGATTGCTAATTACTCACTGCCCAGGTAAGGAGGAGAAAGAAGCGTATCTCCTTGTTTCCTCTCGGGGACGGAGGATCTGCTCTATAATGACTGGCTGTTAAATGAAATTGGGTGGCAGGATGCTGGTGTAGACCCCTTGTCTACAAGCCACTGGCTTACGATGGTATTGTTGCTTGTGTGTCGTAGGGCAATGAAACGCTTGGAGGAGGCCCGTCTGCATAAAGAGATTCCTGAGACAACCAGGACCTCCCAGATGCAGGAGCTGCACAAATCTCTCCGGGTAAGATGCCCTCAGAGAGTGTCCAGTAGCTTAAAGGTTCTTAAATATTTAGTAGCTTTTCTACTTTGGCCCACCTCTAGGAGGGTAAAGGCAGCTGTGGTTATTTCTGTCTGCTTACAATGTTGCCATCTGGGGGCACCATCTGTTTAGGTGGCGGGAACCTACTGTAGTTTGTACTCAGCAGAGGCCTATGGCTCTCTGCTCCTTAATTCTCCCTTTTAGTGTATCAGAGCGGTACTGTAGATCTCCCCGCAGCGGTCTTCTTTATGTTTAGCTGACGCTGAAGCTAGTGATGCTAAGACTGTAGAAGACAGTGTGCTGGGGTCTCAGATAAGCCTTGACTCCATTTATTCATGAATGTAAGGGTCTCCTAACCGCCTGCCCCTCCCCGCAAGCATAAAGGAATCTTGGGTTATATTAAACCTCAGGTTGCTTTTTTATAGTGGAAAAGCCAACTCTTGGATTAGCCTATTAATGATTACCATTTTTTTGTCGTTCTTTTTAAGTCTCTGAATAATTTCTGCAGTCAGATTGGCGATGATCGGCCTATCTCCTACTGTCACTTTAGTCCCAATTCCAAAATGCTGGCCACGGCCTGTTGGTAAGTTCCATTTTACAGTGACTTTTTTATCCTAAATAGGCAGCAGGTTTGGTGGGGCAAATCAGCATGTCTCAGATGTCTGTTTCTGCATCCTCTTCCTTGGTTTCCCACGATCATACCGAACTGGAGAGTCTCCTGCTCTGCCCTGCTTTATCACTGTGTATTAGACAGTGATAAAGTCTTTGTGAGCAGTTCTGACTGCTCGCAAGGGGCCCCAGAGGTTGTGACATGGAGCAGTCGGTCACGCTCTTGACACCTGTTTTTTGGAGCATGTGATAAAGTGAGCTGATAGACTGACTATGACCCACACCCCAGTATAGTGTTTCTTTTTCAGTTATGTGACCTAGACCAGACACTTATTTTCTGTAAACTTGTCTTTTTATCTGAAAGTAGGGTGAGATGATGTTTATAGAACATTTGGCCTTGATAGTGCCTGGTATGTGGTAAGGTCTCAGTAAACATGGATCATTATTTTTATCTTTACTTTTTTACTTACCACCATATTTGCAGAAAACTCTTAGGACATGATAACTCTTGTTTTGTTCTAATGTAGTTGTTTTTGTGGGACATGGTCCATGAGATAGTGAGAGGGGAAACTTCCTTGTATTGTACGCACGGGAACTACTTGTCTAGGCAGAAGTTGAGACCGAGGCTCAGGAGAAAGCCAAGGACTGACACAAATACCTCCACCTCCCTAATAAGCCTCAGTGTCTTCCTTGTAAAGCAGAAGTTTTCATTCCTATTTTACATACCTCACAGGTCTGTTAATAAGGATCATCTGAGATTATAGGTATAAAAGTAATTGGAAATTTTCTGATATACAAAATTCTTTTAAATTTTTTAAACTAGAAATAGAAAAGTCTAAAAACTGTTTAGTTTGTAAGCCGCAAAATACTATTCATATATAAGAAGATAGTGTCATTATTAATATTATTATTGATTGGATAGTTTACTTTTAGGATTTTATTTATTTACTTTTAGAGGGGGAGAGAGGGAGAAAGAGACATCGATGGGTTGCCTCTCACACGCCCCCAGCTAGGGATGTAGTCTGCAACCCAAGCATGTGCCCTGACTGGGGCTCGAACCATCAACCTTTGTTTGTTTGTTTGTTTTGTTTGTTTGTTTGTTTGTTTTGGTTCTTAGGCTGGCGCTTAATCCACTGAGCCACACAACTCAGGTGTGAATAGTTTAATTTGTCCTACCTTCCCTCACAAACTGATCCAGAAGTTAAGGGGAATAATAACCTGCACATATTACTTATAGTCCAGTAGAGGCTTCTGGCTGCTTGAGACTTGGATGTAGCTTTGTACTCTTAGCACTGCAAATGATAGCCTTTTCTTTCTCTGTCTGCCATTGTAAAGTTTATTGAGGGTGAAAAGAGATTGTCCTTTAGTAATGTTACCAAGGTGCCTTTTCCTCCCCAGACCAACCCTGGCTGAGATGCTTTCCTTTGTATTTGATAGGAGTGGGCTTTGCAAGCTCTGGTCCGTTCCTGATTGCAACCTCCTTCACACTCTGCGAGGTAAGTTAGAATCGCATCTACATCTGTGTCTCTGTCGCAGTGTGAGCTCTGCTGAGCAGTAAAACTCTGTCTGACACTCAGACCCAGGACATACAAGGTTAATTCTTGACTTGTTTTGACTGGGTTTGGTTTCTCCAACCCCAAGGCTGGGAGACACGGACTTCATGCATATACCAGTTTCCTCCCAAGTCCAGCCCCAAGTCCAGCCCCAAGTCCAGCCTCCAAGTACTCCCCCGTTCCCCCCCCCTTTTTTTTTTTTTTTTAAGAAAAAAGAATATATTTGTTTATTTTTAGAGAGAAGGGAAAGGAGAAAGAAAGAGAGGGAAACACCATTGTGCAAGAGAAACATAGTTCGGTTACCTGTCACATACCCCCAACTGGGGACCTGGCCCACAACCCGGGCTTGTGCCCTCACCGGGAATTGAACCGGTGACCTTTTGGTTTGCAGGACAACACCCAACCCACTGAGCCACACTAGTCAGGGCTTTTTGCTTTTTGTTAATGTGATTTAAATATTAGTTTAAATTAAAATAGTTTACTTTTTAACATAGTTAAGTGCTTATTTTAATACACTATCATGTGCCCCTAATGTTTACCTATATTACTCATTGTACTGTGTATTTGCACATAAGTTACTAGGGAGCGGGAGCCCTTTAACTTCCATCTCTTACACTCCTTCAGGCCATAACACAAATGTAGGAGCAATTGTATTCCATCCAAAATCCACTGTCTCCTTGGACCAAAAAGATGTCAATCTGGCTTCTTGTGCTGCTGATGGTTCCGTGAAACTTTGGAGCCTCGACAGGTGAGTGATACAGTTCTGTCCATACTGCAGTCACTGGAGTAAATGGTGGGTTGGTTGGCCCTTGGGACCTGAAAACCTGGTATTTAACCCCAGAGATACTCTTAAGAGTCAAAGAAACTTGTTATAAAAATAGAATAGAGGATTTTTCTTACACTGTTTCTCACCAAAGGAGTTGTGGCAGGTTTTTTCTTACTTGTTCACTTTAGACCTTGATCTTTTAAATATAGTGGCCACTTTTTTCCTGGCTCCAGTTACTCTGGAAAGATCCATCTTACCCCCCGTGCAGTAGGTTGACATTGGAGAAGTGCACTGTTCGGTAGACTGAGTAAACATGATGTTCTGGCAGCATGTCGGTCTCAGCAGACAGCCCCGGGGAGAGGGAGGTGCAGTTCTGTCTGGCAGCGTTGCCGGGGAAGCGGTGTCTGCCCCAGGGGCGTCGCCCCTTCCCCACACCGTAGTGTGTTTATGCATGTCGTTTTTCAAGAACCTTTTGGAAGCGTGTTGTTGGCTAAAAGACATCAGAATTCAATTGCTTAGTTTTATTTCTTTGGGTAAGCACATGAGGCTTGTGTTCCAGGCTTCTGTAAAGAGCTAATTAGCATCTCCATTCTGTACCAGACAGGGTCTCACCTACGTGCACAACAAGTTTTAATTGGCTTTGGTAATATTTAGCAATATTTTCCTCCGGGGCATTGATTAGTTGTCTGTGTGCACATTGACAAAGTTCCCTTTTTAATTGCCCTCTTTAGGGTTCTTGTTTATTTTCTTACCCTGGTGTTTCAGGTCTTCTTCCTGTGGTTACTGGGGAGTAGAATTTAATGGCCACCAAAAGGAAATGAAGCCTTTATCTCCCCACGAGTTCCTTTTTCCATGGGGATCCTTGAACAAGCTAAAGTTTGAGGAGATTTATTTGTAATCCGCTTGCACCAAAACTGCTTGGTTTTGTAGCCTCACATCTCCATCAAATTATGTTTTCTTCCTAGAATTTTAGCACTTCTTTGGTACAGAGAAACAATTTTGCTTATCTTTAATTCTTGCTGGTTCTGAGTGGTATAGCCTTGAGAGCTCATTAACATAGTGAGTTGAGGTAGAAGGAGTATTTCTTGAAGTTCTGTGGACGGTTTTGCCCTGTGGGTACAGGAAGTAGTCCCCAATCTTTTAAAACCTAGGGAAGTGACTTAAATCATTGTTAGCCCTAAATTGGTTGTAACAGATTACAAGTTTATTTATAATTTAGCCTCTCAAATTATACAGAATTGGTGTGTCTGTGTGCAGCAGTTAATAACGTCAATGAATATTTATTTACATGAGTATAAAACAGCTTACTCCCATGTATTTGATTCCTTTTCAGTGATGAACCAGTGGCAGATATTGAGGGCCATACAGTGCGTGTGGCCCGTGTAATGTGGCATCCATCAGGACGTTTCTTGGGTACCACCTGGTAAGCCTTTCTGTTCTGTCTTATTGACCCTTTATGTTTAACTGCCAAGTAAATTTTTAGAACTTCCTTCCTGAAGATCTCAGGAAGGATGTTCTCAGACAGCAAAGAATCAGAATCAGAATAGAATACATATTTGCTGTGTACAGTGCAGTCCCATGTATAATGCACACCCACATTTTGGACCCAAACTTTCAGGGGAAAACGATCTTTCGTTTCAATTTGTTAATTCAATTATTTATTTACTTATATTTAGAAACAAGACTGATTATTATATTCCAGGGTATTTTGCATGTGATATCATTATTGCTTTCTAGAGTTACACTTTTAATGCATAAGCATTGATAAAAGAATTAAAAATACATACATATATATGGAATTAGTATTACCCATGTGTAGTGTGCATCCTTGTTTTTCCCTCAAAAATTAGGGCAAAAATTGCACATTATACACAGCAAAATATGGTATATTATATAGTTAGGGCTAAGTATATTTGCTCTTACATTGCAGTTCATCTGAAATTTTTAAAGTCATTAGTTGTCCAAAAAACTAGAATTTTCATTTTATGTTCTCTTTCTTAACTAATATCAGAAGTTTTTTGGTTTTGCTTTTTTTCCCCTACACGTTGTATTATAATCTCTGCTTATAAATCAGTCTCCCTTTCTGGTTCTATAGTTTAATGAGGCCAAAATCTGTTAAAGAACTTTTTTCTTCTATTTTTAAAGATTTCATTTATTTTTAGAGGGAGGAGAAGGGAAGAAGAAAGAGAGGGAGAGAAACATTGGTGTGTGGTTGCCTCTTGTGCACCCCCTACTGGGGACCTGACCCACAACCCAGGCATGTGCCCTGACTAGGAATTGAACCGGCAACCCTTTGCTTCACAGTCCAATGCTCGATCCACTGAGCATGTCAGCCAGGGCTGTTAAAAGAACTTTTAAATTGAGATACCATTTATATGAAGTGGGTATGGATTTGTTTTAAGTGCATAGTTTAATCAGCCTTGACCTATCAGTGCTCATGTGACTCGCGTCCCTGTCAGAGAGTGCGTTTCCGTCACCCCACAAAGTTCCCGCGTGCCCCTTCCCAGTAACTTCCCCTCCAGAGCAACTGCTCATCTGACTTCTGTCACCACCAATCCTGTTCGTTCCTGCTGCATGAACCCGTCTGTCTGGCTTCTTTCACTCAGCCTCATTTTGAAGATTCACTCATGTCGTTTGCATATATCAATAGTTCTTTTTATTGCTGAAGAGCAAACAGTTGTATTACTGTGCCGTGACTTACTTATTCAGTTTCCTGTGGATGGACAGTTGGGCTGTTCCCAGGTTTTGGCTAGTCAGACTAAAGCTGCAATAAATATTCTTGTGCAAGACTTTGTGAACATGTTTTTCTTTACTTTTTCTTGAATAAATACCTAGGAATGCAAGTGCTGATCATAGGGTAGATGTATATTTAACATATAAAAAACTCTAAGTGGTTTTCCGGAGTGGTTGTACCACTTCACATTCCCAGAATTCTGATCACTTATTTCACCTCCTTGCCAACGTTTGGTTTTGTCAGTCCCATCATTCTGCCCAATCTAGCAACCATAGCAAAATTGCATGGTTTCCGTTTTTGTTACCTTAATGACTGTTGGTGTTGAGTATCTTGTCATATGCCTTTTGGCCATTTGTATATTCTCTTTTGTGTAGTCTTCAGGTGCTTGACTCGTTTTTTAAAAAATGTTTGTCTTTTTTTTTCTGCTTTTATTTCCATACACATAGACAGCTCTATCACCATTTATTGGACTTTCCTTAACTTTATGAAATTGCTTGGCACCCTCATTGAAAATCATTTGACCATGTATGTGTGGTGTATTTCTCTTCCCTCTGTTCTGTTCCACTGATTTGCCTATGGTTGATTTTTGTGTCCCCAGCATCCCATTTAGGGCCAGTAAACATATCAGTGCTCTATGAATGAAGGGCCATAATGGTGAAATGGGGCAGGAAAGAAGGCAACAGAATCTTGGCTGAGCCACTCTTAGGGGATTCTGTTCTGAGAAATAGCCACTGAAGTAGGTTTATAGGAAGTCATGGTGTCCTGATTGGCACCCAAGACAGACATGCTTAATTACTGAGACAATGTTTATGCCAGGAAATAATTTCTTGTTAATAGGGTTATATGAATAAGTAGTTTCATACAGCATAAGTTTCAGAAGCATAACTGAAGCTATAGCTACTAATAACACTTTGCACATTGTGAAACTGAGTAAATATCTGCTGATTGATTACTGGTTTGGCGTTCCAGCTATGACCGCTCGTGGCGCCTGTGGGATTTGGAGGCGCAAGAGGAGATCCTGCACCAGGAGGGCCACAGCATGGGTGTGTACGACATCACCTTCCATCAAGATGGCTCTTTGGCTGGCACTGGGTAAGGCATATTCCACATAGCCAGGGTCACCTCAGTAGTCTCGCCTCTTACGTAAGTCTGCTTCCGCAGAGAACTAGATTCAAAGTGTTCCTTCGTAAATTATTTTATCAGGGGCCTGGATGCATTTGGTCGCGTTTGGGACCTGCGCACAGGACGTTGCATCATGTTCCTAGAGGGGCACCTGAAGGAAATCTACGGGATAAATTTCTCCCCCAATGGGTAAAATAAGATCATCGAATAAGGGATGGAGAGGGTTTGGGTCAGGAAGGACTCCCTGTTTCTCACTTCGATATTCTATCTGATCCCCAGGTACCACATTGCTACTGGCAGCGGTGACAACACCTGCAAAGTGTGGGACCTTCGACAGCGGCGTTGCATCTACACCATCCCTGCCCACCATAACTTAGTGACTGGTGTCAAGTTCGAACGTAAGCTGTTTCCCTGTTTTCAGCCTAATCATGACAAAGACAGCTTGCACTTTCATGGAAGGCAGGCAGGCTTTAGCTTAACTTGGAGGTGGAACAGGAGAGAATTTTGGCTCTGTAAAAGAAGGAAATTATCATTTCCTTCCCTCTACTCTGCTGTCAGACCGAAGTATGGCAGAGCACGCTTCTTGTTGCTAGGAGTAAAAAAGTCTTCATGAATGCTTTGCTGCATCTTTTTCTCCATGGAAATTCTGAGCACTGAATCCTTGATATTATTCTGAACAGGTTGTGAAAAGAGCCACAGGAACTTAAAAATGTTTCCCTGAGTCTGCTTGTACTTGTCCCTTTTTCCTGGAGGCCTAGCAGGAACACAGATAAGACTGTTGGGATTTTTTGCGTGTAGAAATACCTTTTTTTTCCCCTCAAAATACCGTGTTCTAGATTTTTGTGCTTTCATTTTCTTGTGCTCTTTTGAATTCTTGAATTCCTTAAGCAACTCCTGTGGTTTTTTTTTTTTTCTCTTGTAGCTATCCATGGGAATTTCTTGCTCACTGGTGCCTATGATAACACAGCCAAGATCTGGACCCACCCAGGCTGGTCCCCGTTGAAGACTCTGGCTGGCCACGAAGGCAAAGTGATGGGCCTCGACATCTCTTCTGACGGGCAGCTGATAGCCACTTGCTCATATGACAGGACCTTCAAGCTCTGGATGGCGGAGTAGGCACGGGCATAGAAAAAGGACTCCAGCCTCAGGCTCTCCCTTAAGAGCCATTTTCAAAAGAGAGAATTGGTGTGTTTTGTTTTATCATGTCTGTTGTCAGTGACCACGCATAGACCCTCAGTAGCCTGGATGCCCGTGTCATCCCGACTCCAGGCCGGCAGCCCAGTTCCTGGATCTCCGTGAACCCCGTTTCGTGGTTGAATTGGGATTTCATCTTCAAGCCCTGCCAGTAACGAGACAATTGTCTTTATTAATCTTTTGTTTGACTGCCCTGTTGCCGTCCTCACATCTCTCAGGATTGTGGCTGGGCTCCATTTTTAGTTCTTGAAACTTGGCTTTCCATTACATGGTGCATGCTCCAGGACTGCACGTGACCCCGGGAGCCAGGTGGCTGGACCACAGTCGGGAAGCCCTCGAGCAGAGAGGCACGTCTCCCCGCGCACTGGTTGAATACTGCCCGGCAGAGCGAGAGCCTTCCCTCTGCCCTGAGAGCGGGAAGTGAAGAGGGGCACGGGTGCAGCCGTGCTCCGGTTACGCGGTGAAGATTTACCTCTTCCCGTCGGCTTCACAGGGAACGCCGCGTGCATCGGAGAGCATCGGGGAGCTCAGAACTGAACATTTGCCTTGTCAGAAAATGAATTCCTTTTTGAAGTTTGGCATCCTTTGTATTATCCCAAAACTAGGCCATTGTGTCAAGATTCAATGAAATTTTCAGAAAGCTAACATGATGACTCTATTGTGTAACCTCCTTTTTGTTTGTTAAAGGGTATACCATTCATGTTGAGGTAGCTCCAGAAAAAGATATCCCTAAAGATTATTCCTAAACATAAACTTTTCCCTTGTTTACAAAAATTTTTATTACATACTTGGTAGAGTAAAATCCTATTATAAAAACTATCCTTCAAAGAATTATTTTCCATAGTTAAGTCTTTTCTGAATCCCAGCTTTTGGTTCATCGAGGACCCTGTTTTTTTGGTTTGAGATATAATACATGATCTGAAATATGATTACTCCAATTTCTGTCTCCTTAATAAGTACTCTGTTAATAATTTAAAAAAAAATAGAGCACTGTCAGGTGTGGCTTGGGGTATTCAGTGCCAGCCTATGAACCAAAGGGTCACCAGTTCAATTCCCAGCCAGGGCACATGCCTGGGTTGCGGACCTGGTTTCTGGTGGCGGAGGTGTGAGAAACAACCACACACCGATGTTTCTCTCTCCCTCCTTCCCCCCTCTCTAAAAATAAAATCTTTTTAAAAAACCAAGGGCTATTGCATTGTGGGCCAGACTACCAGTGAACTAAATCTGCATTCTAATTCTGATTCATTGGCCATCCAGCAATCACCTTCACCTTTTCCCACCCCAAATACACAACCACTGAACTCTGAAAGTACCTAATCCATACAAATGTACAGGGATTTGGAAGAAGAAAGAATTGTACATAGAGAATTCAAAGAGAGTTTCTGTGCTGGCCTCTCCTTGAAGCGTTAAACACACTTTCTATGTGGTGTTCCCGGGGGGCTGAGAGCCGCTTGTCCAGCTCAGTTCTTCACACTGGGATTGTGGTGTGTAGCTAAATATCTTGTTTCATTTGATTGCAATTATAACCAGTGTTGCATGGCCTGTGTGTCTGTTAGGCCTCTAAATTCTCTGCCATCATTTGGGGACTTCACTATTAAGTATTAATGGACACTATTCCGTAGTTGGCCATGAAAAGAAATTATTTGCATTACTACCTTTTTAGTATGTGTAAACTGATAATGAACATGAATGTTTTAGCATGCAGTTTGGATATATTTAGTGCGTTAAGGTTTTTAGGTTCTCAAGTTTAAATTTCACTATTCCATTAACCTTGTCCTGGGCGGGGGCTGGCAGGAGGTCTAAGAGATTTAGAGGTTGCAACTGGGTGAAAGCATTTGATCTAAGTCTTTGGCAAAACAAGTAAGTGTCTTGTGGAATATCTATTTTTTTCACTGGAATGTCATTGTAACAAAGCAGCTAGCTGAGCAGCATAAACCAAGTGTGGCTTATGATAATGAGGAGACACGCCTAGCCACCACTTAACCAGGGTACTTCCTGTCCACTGGACAATGTGCCAGGCACATTCAGACACCTCGTTTAATCCTCCGTTTAATCTTCCGAGTCTCAGGACTGACTTCCTTTTACAGACAGAACCGGAGCTCAGAGAGGTTAAGTGACTTGCTCACAGTTTCCCGGTTGGTAAGTGGTGGACCCTGATCTGTCTTACGAAGAGATTCCATAGGGTTTCACTGACTCTGTTGGCAACACTGGCCAGACAGATCAGTCCAGCCAGCGTGGCCCATACGTAGCTTTTTAGCTGCTCCGCTTTCTACACTGCCCTTCTGACAAGTCACTGCATCTCTTCCTTGGACTTCATGCCAAGGGGAGTTAACACTTCCACCACTTCTACCTCTGAGGAGCCTACAGTGTATTTAACAGAAAATTGCATTTGGAATTGACATTTTGTTGTGTGGAGCTGTCTGGAGCGTGTCTGACCTCTGGAATACCAAGAACCGGAAGCGCAGCACACCCACGTCACTGGTGTACCAAAGATACCAGTGAGGACGTTTCCAGATGCCCTGTAGGAGCACGGCACTGCCCCAGGGTTAGACCTACTGACTGTGAGAATAGGAGATGCTATCACGCTTCCTTATCCGAAAGTAATGAAACCAATGTCTTTCCTTATTTGGATGGGTATAAGCCACTTCAAGGGTGTAAGTCCTATTTTGACTGAAAGTCTGCAACTTCCTGGCTGGCTCCCCTTGAACAAAGTCGTTGAACTTGTGGAGACTCAGTTTCACCTCGGAAGGGGGACGACCTTTCCTTAACTCCAGGGCAGTGGGCTGCAGTGCAGACGCAAGTGCCCCTCCCAGGCTTCCCCCTGTTCCTGCTGACCCTGATGGCATGGGGAGCTCATTGCCTGACAGACGGGCCACAAGGCTGAGGAGCAGGGACACGTGAAGGATGAAGGCCATGGGGGGAGCGTGAGTCCCGGCTTCCGTGTGGTTCCCTTGGATGGCGCCAGGGGAGAGGCAGGTGCTGGTCCCCTGGCGGGATACGTTGGTGACTCCCAATTTCATAATGGAGAACTTCGTTTCATTTTTTCTTCACATCTTAAGACCATCTGGTTTCACTACATGTGAAATACGTGTCTTGGCTATTTGGGAATATCTTGTACATTAAGGCCCCTGAGAATTTACAGAAGCTAATTCCATTAAACTCACACAATGTGTAGAGCAGAGAAACCAACACCATTCCAGGCCTCTGAAAGCTTATTTTACAAACCCAGAAAACTCAAAATATTATCTTATCATAACTGTGATGGTGTTTTAGCCACTTTGAGATTGTTTTAGAGCCCTGGGCCACCAGGCAATATTAAAACTGGGGAAGCAGAAATCAGGGGTTTTAGACGCTGCGGAAATGGCAGCTTGTGGTCGAGTAGCAGCCTGAGCACCCAAACCCTACCCAGTTTTCTCTGGTTCCTGGAGGCTGTCATGTGAAATGAAAGCCTGGGTCCCCAGCCTGCAGGCCCGCGGTGGGAGCTGAGGTGTTGAATCTCTCCAGGGTGTCTGCCTTAGCTCTTGAGTGAGAATGTCAGTGCTTGGTGGAGGGGGGTCAGCTCCACCCAGCACCCAGTCTTCTCAGCAGGGCCTCTGCATCTACCAGGAGGAATCAAAACCTCCCCCAGATCCCAGATTTCCTTTGATCCACTGACCCTGCCTGCTTTCCACCTTTAAACTTTCAGACTCTTAACACTCCATAAACCTCATACCCACGAGGTTGCACCAGAAGCAGCTGAGTGAGCACCCGCTCCCTGCTGGTAAGGGCTCTCTGCTCCCCTCCACCCCCCCATAGTCCCACCCTTCTCTTGCCCTAGTTCTGCTGAGTAGATGAATAAATGAGTAAATACAGACCATTTTTACTGGGACGGTGGCAAGATAAAGAGAAAACTGCCAGGAGGAGACACATTTGCTCACAGAATTGAAGTTCATTTTCCCAATTTTTTAGCAATCCAATAAGAAGAACTCAGTTAAAAAAAAAAAGTGAACGAGTTCAAAGCAGCTCCAGTGAGACGTGCAGCTTGCTCTCTGGGCTGGAAAGGTTTCTAGGGACAGCAGTTGTCCCCCTCCCACAGACCCCACGGCTCCCACCCAGAGGTGGTCTCACACCCTTCCCCAGCCCTTCAACTTTCAGAGGTTCTCACACAGTAGGACGCTGTTCCCAGAAGCAAGCACATGTCTAACTGGTCCGTGGATTGTACAAAGAAACAACACTACACGGGAAGACACCCACACACGCGGCTCTGCAGTCCCTGTAACCAGCAGCCGCTGGGAGAGGCTTGGTTCCTTGTCAGGAACGGATGCTCACCCCACACTCCAAAGGAACTGCTTGGTCCAGAAGATGGAGAAGATGAGCAACAGAGTGACGCTGAGGATGACAGCCATCAGGTAGGCAAAGATGCGGAACTGAGGGTTCTGGAGACACTCCCTCAGAGAGTAGTGGCTGGAGAGGGGAACGGGCAGGGGCGTGGTGGTAGAGGCCGTGGCCTGTGGGGCCTCAGTCTGGCTCCCGAGCTGGGGGCCTAGGTCCAGCGTGTAGACTCGGGGCTGGCGCAGGAAGTAGCGGCTCTTGGGCTGGTCCTTGAGACAGAGCTGATGACCTTCCAGGATGATGTGATGGGGCTCCAGGCGGAGCAGGGTGAGCATGGCCGTATCAGTGGGCAAGTCAGTGACAGGCTGCCCAGAGGCCAGCACAGTGGGCTGGCGACAGAGTGGGCACAGCAGCTGGCGCTGGGCTGGAGTCACCAGGCTGAGGTGGGCCAGGCATTCCACGCAGAAGGAGTGGCAGCAGTCCAGCACTTTCGGGGTGTGGAATGTGTTGTTGAAGGGGTTCCAGCAGACGGGGCACTCGGGCTCCCGGCCCTGCTGCTCAGCCATCCTCAGGCCAGATGCCAGGAGGCCTGGCAGGAGATGTCCTGACGAGAAGAGAAAAGGAGCAAAGGAACACCCATGAAGCTCTGTGCCTGTGCTGGGTGCCGGGCTGAGTGTCCCATGGGTTGTCAAAAGTCATTGTCAACCACACTTCACAGACGAAAACACTTAGGAGTCAATGAAGTGAAATGATTGGTTCCAGATCACCCAGTCCTCAGCCGTAGATGTAAGGCTGGTGCCCCTGTAGTATCCCCTCTACTGGGGCAAAGGCGTGAGCCACCCCACTACTAACGAGCTGCCACAGGAAGAGACTGGACCCCAGCTTTGGAAATGGGTGAAAACAGTCCTTATGCTCCATGTGGCTGCCCCTGGCTTCTCGGACTGCAGGCAGAGGGAGGGGAGCCACAGCCCGTGGTTCGTGCCAGAGGGCAGCTACTTCTTTCCCTGCAGCCTCAACTCCCTGACTAGCACAGACATGGCCTCTGTGAATTCTCCGGGCTGCCCCTCCTCTGGGAACAAATGCCAGGCCCTCTTTCCCTCCTCCCATTGGGCCACAGAGCCAAGCGTCCAGAGCCCAGCTGCCCAGTCCTTGTGCAGGGTGCCGTGTTGACCTGGCAAGGGAGCTCCTGGCAAGGCGTTTCCCCTTGACCTGGAAGCTCGGAGGCTCCCCTACACAGGTCCCCAGATCCCTTCCGAAGCCTCCTCCCCACACTTGGCCTCCCCTGGTTCTTCCTCCCTCCCTTTGTCCCAGAAAACCTACCTGGGCTTCAGTTGGCCCTAGAGCGGTCAGCAGACCACCCTGAAGGGCCCGAGGCTCCAGGCTCTCCCTTCCCTGAATCTCCCTCTCCGAAAAGCTTTGGGAGGCTGCCTTCTCGCCACCAACCCCGGGGCCCGTCTCCATGGCAGCGCACACACAGCACCTGGAGCCGCCAGGTGGCCTGGGCTGCAACCTCTTGAGCACACCTGTTTGCAGTGAAGGCCAGAGAGCTGCCCAGGTGGTAGCGGGGTGGGGCGGTGTGGGACCAGAGTTCCCCCAGGGCTTGGCAGACAACCAACCCCGGAAGCCAAGTATGTGGGCAGTCCCTTCGAGACCTAGGATCGCTGGCTGGAAAGGCAGGGTGGCAGTTGCCTTTTTCTAGATTGTGGAGAGGGTAAGTGAGCCTGCTGGGCCTCCTGTCTCCTGGGTCCTTATTCTTTTCTAAAGTGGCTGAAACCTCCTTCTCACGCAAAGGGTCTGCCTGCCCTGCACGTCAGTGGCGGTGAAATTCACCTATATGCCCAGTCTAAAATCTCCATTGTCCGATTCAGAGAGTCCTCTCCAGTCCCCCGCTGATCATTTCATGTGCCCGAGAAGCTGCAGCCAGAACACCGCCAGCCAGCCTGGCACGCACTGAGTCCAGAGATCTTTCAGCCCAAAGGTTGCCCATCCCGACCCTTGAGGATTTGAAAGGGGGAATCAGGAAAGAGGAAGGAGGGCTCCAGGGAAACACCTAGCTTTTCTCATGTTAGTTATTTGAATACATTGAAAAATTGAACTGCTGGGGGGAAAAAAGTTTAAAAACCATTTCTCTGTCCCAACCACACATTGTGCAGATGGTAGGTAAGAAGTGACTGTCACCCAAGGTCACCCAAGGTCACCCAGCTGGGACTTCCAGACCACCACCATGTGCTGTCATAAAGGCAGAACACTCATCCATTCGGTTACCTGCTGCATGTCTAATGAACTAACCAGTGTTTGCATTTTCTCAGGAGATTCCTTATGGCCATGAGGCCCTTGTGGTACAAACCCGGGAACCATGTAGGGGGCACCTGGGCATGGGACTCTCCCTGCTGCCCCCGATATGACATCATCTGCCCTGACTGAGCTGATACATGAAGCAAAACCTGCTTGTCCTCCCTCACTTGTGGCTAGACCTCTGTCACGGCTCCGTACAGGGGAGACAAAGCAGAGAGCTGCAGGAGGGTGGAACGGCTCTGACCGGAGCTGGGGTGGTTTGCTGAGGACCCACACCCATGAATGCCCTCTATGGGTCGTTTGTCCCTTCCACGCACAGCCACCGAGTCGGTGTGGGCTCACCATCACCCAGGTACTGTGCGAGGCATCGAGTCAACCGTGGTGACAAGACAGCCATGGTCTTTGACCTCATGACCTTTTGAGTCTAGCAAGGGAAAGAGGCATTTAATGAGTAATGGGCAATAAATAAACTTTTAATGAATGAATTTTAATGAATGCTATGAAGGACAAAAAGGGAAATGGCCTGGGGGAGGGGGGCGGTTACTGGTTCAGATGAGACCACCAAGGAAGGTTTCTCCAAAGAGGTGACATGAGAGCTGAGACTGAAGGAAGGGAAGAGCCCGGCTGTGCAGAGGGGAGAAAGGACATTCGAGGTCAAGAGAATAACATGTGCAGAAGCCCTACGGCGTGAAACAGCCGAATGGAGGAAGTGAGGGGAGGCCAGGGTGACTGAGGTGTACCGGGTGGAGCTGGGGTGAGCAAGTGGCTCAGGATGAGCGAGAGAAGGAAGAGGCAGGTCCTGAAAGCTGGTAGGGGGAGGAGGACTTGATCCTGTTTCTGAGTTTTTGTTTGTTTGTTTCTGTTTTAAAAACCCCATCCCACTGCAGAGCAGAGAACATGCCGAAAGGGACAGAGAGGACATGGAAGACCAGTGAGGCACTCCAGCGGTGGTCCCCCGGCCGGGATGGTGGTACCTGACTCAGGCCAGGCGATGGCAAAGAAGATCAAAGGGAGGAGGCGACAGATCACTCTGGAGATGGATTCAAAAGCACCTCCCCAGAAACACTGGACAGCAAAGATTCTGGAACCTGTCAAGGCTCATGACCCCAGAGCCAGTGCTTCCTGGGGCTGTGACTCCAACGGAATAGCTTAACCTCCCTGTCCCTCATTTTCTTCTTGTGACAAAGAAGCTAAAAGTAGGGTAAAGCTCTTAGATAGAGGAGGGCACACAGTAAAGACCATATATGATGTACATTATCACTGCAAATGAATTTGAGAGAGAAAAAGGGTCAAGGCCAACTTCAAGGCTATAAAAAGTTTTATGCACTGAGCTTTGAAAAGCCCCCAGAATTCAGAATGTGTCACAAACAGACCTTCAGTGATTATGAAAAGTCTTAAAATTGCCCAGATGGGTGTGGCTCAGTTGGTTGGGTGTTGTCCTGCAAAGCAAAAAGATCGCCAGTTCGATTCCAGGTCAGGGCACATGTCTGAGCTGCGGGCCAAGTCCAAGAGGCAACCAATCGATGTTTCCCTCTTACATGGATGTTTCTCTCCTCACTTTCCCCCTCCCTTCCTCTCTGTTTATAAAATCTTTTTAAAAATTAAAAAGCCTTAAAATGTACATAGCCTTGATTCAGCAGATCTCCCACTGGGAATCTATCCCCTGGAAATAATCAAGGAAGGACCTGTGCAAAGCTTTGATTACAGAAATACCCATCAAAACTCTGCTTTGATTGTGAAGAATTGAAAACTACCTAGTTATCTAATAGAGGGACATTGATTAAATAAATTCTGCTCCATCCATATAAAGAGACATTCTGTAGCTTTTAAAATGATATGATAGCTGAGCCCTGGCTGGCGTAGCTCAGTGGATTGAGCACGGGCTGGGAACCAAAGTGTCCCAGGTTCGATTCCCAGCCAGGGCACATTCCTGGGTTGCAGGCCATAACCCCCAGCAACTGCACGTTGATGTTTCTCTCTCTCTCTCTCTCTCTCTCTCTCTCTCTCTCCCTTCCCTCTCTAAAAATAAATAAATAAATAATCTTAAAAAAAATAAATTTTAAAATGATATGATAGCCCTGGCTGGTGTGGTTCAGTGGATTGCACACCTGCCTGTGAACCGAAAGGTCGCCAGTTTGATTCCCAGTCAGGGCACATGCCTGGGCTGCAGGCGTGGCTCCCAGTTGGGGGCACATGAGAGGCAACTGATTGATGTATCTCACACATTAATGTTTCTCTCCCTCTCTTTCTTCCTCCCTTCCCCTCTCTCTAAAAGTAAATAAATAAAATCTTTTTAAGAAATGATACGATAAAACATCTACTAACATGGAAATAGGTTGAGGTTATGTCATTATGTGAAAAGAACCAGTGATAAAACCATGCTAGAATATAATCCAATCTTCCCAGCATATGTGCACAATGGAAAAATGTCTGGAATAACAAACACCAAAGTGTCAACACTGGTTATCTCTGGGGGTAAGATTATAGGTGTTTGTTTTAAAATTATCTTACCTGAAAATTCTAACTCTACTACAGTAGACTTGTACTAGTACTCTTTTTTTTTTAAGATTTTACTACATTATTTTTAGAGAGAAGGGAGGGGAGGATGAAAGAGGGAGAGAGCCCTGGCTGGTGTGGCTCAGTGGCTCAGTGGTTGAGTGCCCGCCTGCAAATCAAAGGGTCACCAGTTCAATTCCCAGTCTAGGGCACACTCACCTGAGTTGCGGGCCAGGTCCCTAGTGGGGGCGTGCGAGAGACAACTACACATTGATGTTTCCCTCCCTCTCTTTCCCTCTCCCTTCCCCTCTCTAAAAAATAAAGCAAATAAAATCTTTTAAAAAATTTTTTTAAAAAGAAAAAGAGAGGGAGAGAAACATCTCTGTTGGTTGCCTACAGTACATGCCCCAACATGGGGACCGAGCCCAAAACCTGGCCATGTGCCCTGACCGGGAATCAAACCACGAACTTTCACTTTGTGGAATGACACCTAACCCACTGAGCCACAATGGCCAGGGCTGTGCTACTGCCCTTGAGGATCTCCATTCCCCCCAGCGCTGACCTACATTGCTGAAGTTCCATGGCCAAACTGTAAAGAGGAGAGTCGATCACCGCTACCTCAGCATCTTGGCCCTTATCGGCCGTGGGGCCCTCCAGCGTCCGCTGTTTCAAGCCCCGTCAGAGCCCAGCCTCTCCAGGGGAGATTCTGCCCGAGCACCCACCTACCACTCACCCCCAAGGCAAGACAGCTCAGCCACAGCAAGTCCTAAACACGGCCCCAAAGGCATCGCCTCTGTCCATGACCATGTCAGTTTGCCAAATATTAATTGTAGAACCACCCCAAAGTTTTCAACCTCGAGAGAGAGCGTTTTTATAGCACCTCGCAGTTTACAAAGAGCCCTAGTCCTTGCTAGGCTAAGTGCGGTAGGAAAGCCTTTTACAAGGTGTTCCTGTTTGCATAAGGCCACTCAGTTCTTTAAACCACCCTGTGAAGAAGGCAGGCTGGGGAGTAGAAGGCACAGGTTTGGGAACCAGACAGGCTTTCTCACTGTGAGGACTTGGACTAATAATGGCTTAAGCTCTGTGAGCTTCATGGTCCTCTGCGACATAGACTACTGATCCCCCTTTACGGGGTTGCTGTGAAGAAGGAATGGTGTTTGTAACTTGCCCAACCAGGCACAGCAGGCGCTCCTTACACAGTGTGATGTTCTGAGACCCATTCTATAGAGGCGGAAGCCAAGGCTTAGAATGCTCAAGTGACTTCCCCAGGCTTCACAGCAGAATGACTGAGCTTTAAAAAAAAAAAAAAAAAAAAAAGATTCCCGGAGCCCCGCCTCCCCGGCCATTGTTAGCTGGGACCGTGCTGCCTCTGGGGCTGCAGAGCACTCTGACCCAGGCCTCCATGACCCCTCTCTGGCTCCTTACCTGCGCCCTCAGAGCCTCTGCCTCCTCCTTTCCTCAGTGCAGCTTGGCAGCGTGTGCTCTGACTTTTCCTGGCCGGGTTTCCTGGCCGTGGTGGGCGGGTCTCATTTGCATGAGTCTTCAGGCTGCCCCTGGCCAGCTCTCTCTGTTTCAGGTTTTCCTCTTCCTTCTGATGACTTTGGACTGACTGTTTGGTCACAGGGGACAACCTGAAAGTTTTGGTTTCATCTCCCTCCTATGAGTCACTCTTGGTTTTTCTCAAAGAGCCCTGAAGTCCACTCATCTTGCAGGCCTCTGTTCTGATTGGGTTGGTGGCCTGCCATCCTCTCTGATTGCACTTGCCCTTGGTGTGCTTGATGTGCTGACCACCTTGACGGGAAGGTGGGGTGACTCTGACGCCAGGTCTGCCTCTCAGCGCAGAGAAACACTTCCCTACTCTGAGCCCCTACAACCAAAATGCAAAGAGCTCTCGCAAAACATGGAGAAGAGGGCAAATAAACCAACACAAGAACAGTCATGGGGAGAGAGGTATTCAAGGATAAGCATGGAGAGCCAGAGTTATCAATACATTCGACTTCTGGGTCAGAGTCAAGTCCTCGATCAGCGTTGCATATAGGTTCAAAATGATTCCACATACACTCGTTTACCACTTAAGGGAAGGTGTGTTAACCCACTTGTTTATGACAAAGAAAAAAGTCGCTTTGTAATGAAATAAGCCTTGCCGGGGTGCCATCCTTCTACATGGGCTGTTGGTCAGCTGACAGGCCGGGTTGGGGGCTGATGGGGAAGTACAGGTGGAGAAGCAGCCTCTGCAAGGGGACTTGCAGACGAGGAATACGGAGAGTCTGTAAGGACTCTGAGGACTTTGGTTTGGGCAAGGCAACTATTCTCTAACCTAAAAACTTGATGAAGCCCCCTGGGCATTCGCGTGAATCTTGGTGAGGCGTCCCTGAAAGACAGTGGTGATGCAGAGAGTGGTGATAAACCTTTCAAGGAGCAGAGGACCTTGAAAGAGGGCAGCCAGCCCCCAACACTGGTGTCTTTTCTCCCTGGCAAAGAACTCCAGCAAAAGGGGACTTCCTCGCTGGCGTCTGGAAGCCAGCCCTTTGGTTAGTCACTGACTAGCCTACTTGTATAAAAGGTAGTGCCTACTTGTAGCCCTGGCTAAGTGGCTGAGTGGGGTGGAATGTAGTCCCATACACCAAAAGGCCATGGGTTCAATCCCCAGTCAGGGCACATACCTAGGTTGCAGGTTTGATCTCTGGTTGGAGCACGTAAAGGAGGCAATCAATGTGTCTCTTTCACACTGATGTTTCTCTTTCTCCCTCTCTCAAATCAATAAACAAAGAACAAAGTTTGTAAAATGGCATAGGTAGCCCTGGCTGGTGTGGCTCAGTGGATTGAGCGCTGGCCTGTGAACCGAAGGGTTGCTGGTTCGATTCCCAGTCAGAGCACATGCCTAGGTCGCAGGCCAGATCCTCAGTAGGGGGTACACAAGAGGCAACCATGCACTGATGTTTCTCTCTCTCTCTTTCTCCTCCCCTTCCCCTCTCTGTAAAAATAAATAAATAAATAAAATGTTTAAGAAATGACCTATGTAGTGTGAGCCAGATAGTGTAAAACAGAATGTACAGTATAAAGACTGAAAGGCCGTCAGGCAGATACTGCAACAATTGCCTCTGGGGGACAAGCTTACTGGTGTTGCCGTTTTCTTCTAATCTATATTTTCTGAACTTCCACTAATAATAAACATGTATTACTTTTGTAATAGGCAAATTCTCTTGAAAAGTAAGTAAACCTGAGTTTTCTGCAACCAGGGACTCTGGACGTTAAAAGGAAGGCAGGCAGAGTGTGCGAGAACTCAGTCAGGGCACTGCAGGCACTGATAAAACAGACCATCGTCCTTCTGAGGGTCGCTGTCCAGTGAGCAAATTCAGTCTCATCGTGTCTCTGGGTCATGGGGGCCACGGAGCACTTTGCAGACAGTGGAAAACTTCTCTGGGGAGATACCCAGGAGATAGAGTGAGGCATCTCAGGAATTTCAGAGTTGAATTAATTTAGTTCATGCTTGGCGGGTGAGGTCAGCCAGCCAGAAAAGCACCTCATGTAAGCAGTACCTTGGAACGTGGTGAGTGAAGAGTCATGAGACTTGGCGGAGGCCAGCCAGGGCCTGGAGTGGGCGTGTGGAGTGGTTCAACCCCCCTGGGCCGGAAGAGGCAGCAGGAGGCAGTGGGGGATGGAGAAAAGGCCACGATGAGTCAGGTTTGGGTCAGGTGATGATCAGTGTTTTGCAAGCAGCCCCTCCAAGGGCAGGGGCACCTCTTCCTGTGGGGCACCACAGCGCTCAGAAACCTGGTTTCGGCCTTTCTAGAGTTCAGAGAGTTCAGGACTGTCCCAGCAGCCCAGCCATCACCTGGAGAGTGCTGGAAATGAAGAACCTCAGGCCCACCCCAGACCTACTGAGTATGAATCTGTGATTTTACAAGATTCCTAGGAGATTCAGAAACACATAAAAATGTGATAAGCATTGATTTAGGAGAAATACTCCCAACATATGCTCCTTGACTCATCCCAATTACGTCTGTCTTCAGATTCATGAAGACTTCCCAAGGACCTGCCCCCAGGAAGAAGAGGTGCCAGGCGGGGCTGGGTAAGTTCCCACCTGGGAGTGGGTCCCCCTGCATCTGCTTTAAGTGGCATCTGTTTTTGTTCTCTTTACAAGGCCACATCCCTTATGCAAAACCCTTAGGGCCAGATGGGTTTCAGAATTTTTCATATTTTAGGAAGGTAATTTGTATTTACCATATATCAAGTAACTCTCCCAGTGGGATCTGGGACAACACCCTGCAATCAAATGCAAAAATATTCTGCAACTTAT